GCCTTAAGGTGTAATTATGTCATTTCATCATAGGATTCCATATACTCCAGATGGACTCACCCAGAAAGTGGAGTTTTTCTTTCATTGTAGATCACTCCCTTAGTGTAATTATGTTGACATAGACTCTTTCTTTTTAGGCTGAGGGTCTGATGCAGTTCCAAAATTCCCAGTGTAGATCCAAGCTATAAATAAGACACAAAAAATGCAATTTAAGTGTTTTGTGGCTGCATAGTGTTTCATCACACTTAAGTTTAATGGCAACGAGAAAAAATATATTACAGAGCCATGGATATTCATAGAAATGAGTAATTAGGAAAGCATTCATTTGGGAAGTCTCTAAAATGAAGCTGTCCTTGAACAAAAAAAAAAAAACAAACAAGGCAATTTTAGAGTGAGTTGGAAACTATCCTTAAATAAAAATATTTGACTGTAAAATGGACATTTTAGAAAACTACAAGGTCTCTAATTTTGGTTTATATAATAACCTGTTTTGAAGTGATATAAATTCACCAATTAAGGTAGAATAATAATTATAAAATAACATGTATTAACTGCTTACTGTCCTCTGGGCTCAGTGGTAATTATTTGCATATATCATCTCGTTTAATCTCCACAACAATGTTATGAAGTAGAAATTACTATAATATTATCCCCACTTTGCAGATGAGGAAAGTGAAACTTTGAGGGTTAATGAACTTGCCACATGCGCATGCCTGATAAGTGGTGAAGATGGGAATTGAACCCAAGCCTTCTCACTCCTTGGACTGCGCTCACAACCACTATGCTGGTTTAGGTACACCAACAGTCTCAACACTGTCAGCAATCACATTTCTAAGAAACTATAAACAGATAACAAAAGGATAATAGTAAGTGGTTCTTGTAGTTCAATGTGGTCACTTCTGTTAATAGACTGGGTACAGATGTGTAATTACATCTCTTCCATCAGTAAGAGTTGGTCTACGTACACAGACATTCTTACTTCCTCCTTAATTCCCTTCTACTCTATCTGTCTTCAGGATCCAACCCATAATCAGCTGTGTGTATGCTGACTCACAGCGGTGGAGGGCAATGACTGCAACTTCACTTTCATTAGCCAAATTTGGAATTTGAAGTCCCAAACCCAAGCCATCTGGAAATCGACAGTGAAGGTCACAATTATTTTGGAAGACAGGAATAATGAGGGGGATGGAGAAGACAAGGGACATTAGACTTTAAACATATTATAGCTACTCCATCAATTGGGACTATGTCTTTTTAGATCAATGAGTTAGTGCTTTTTGGATAATGGGCATATCCAGATGTATCCACTGAACAAACTGTGGTTTGCTCTATCAGTAGGAGCTATCATTTATGCCACATTGACATTTTACCACAAGACAAACTTAGATTTTCCGAAAGAAAGTGTCCTTAAACCTTTGCCCAATTTTAAATTACAGGCCAAATTAGGCTAACTAAATCCATGTCCTCTGATTACTATGATTCTGAGGTCATATTACAAAGCTCTGCCCTTACCATGCCTACATGTAGAAGTGGGCATGGCTTTTATTCTGTGGTGTACTGCACAGAGCTCCCTCAAAGGGCACCAGGCAGGACTGGTGAACCAATATCAGTGTATGATCTGTAGTATGAGATATTGTAGGCATTACATATAAACCTTATGAATTTCATTTTTTGAGACATATGATGCACTATGGAGTGCAGTGGCATGAGCTAGGATCACACCACTGCACTCTAGCTTGGGTGACAGAGCCAGGCCACATCTCAAAAAATAAAATAAATAAAAATAAAAGTAAGATATGTTTGTTCTTTATCCATTGGCTGAGTGATTTGATACTGTCAGTTGCTAACATACTGAAAGAGTAAGGTCAGAATAAATTGATTTTGTACACAAGATGAAGCAGATGTCATTTAAAACCCAGGTAAGCGATCATCCTTGGAAAGACCACCTTCTGGGGTATGGCTCATGCTGCTACACCAGAGCCTTGGCTGCTGTAGTGGTTCTTAAACTTTACTGAGTGTCGAAGTCATCTGGAGGGCTGGTTAGACCTAGCTGGGACCACTCTCTGCCACCCTTTCACGAGAGTTTCTAATAGTAGTTCTGGGGCAGGCCCTGAGAATTAGCATTTTTAACAAGTTCTCAGGTAATGCTGAAGCTACTAGGGACTGTCCTTTGAGAATCCCCACTCTGGTGTTTCCTTCTGGTGAGCAACTAAGATTTGGGCTCTCAACCACCATTTGTAACGGCCGTGAGAATGTCACATGAACACACAGCGGAAAAACCATGCCAAATCATTGGTATTATCATTCGGTAAATCAAATCATTGCTTTGTACCAATCATGGTTTCAAAGGGACTAATGGCATTGGAAATTTCCAAAGTACTGGCCAAGGCCTTTAACAAGAATAATAGCTTTATAAACCAGTGTCATCTATATAGCCAGAAATAAAATTATACTTAGATACAATTCAACTTTGATGAGGCTTTCTTAAAAGTGTGGCTACAGAATTATGGCTCAGGACAAACCTAACTGGGAAAAAAATATCACAATACCTATTAAGATGTCCTTTATTTTGCCCAGGAATGCCTTTCACATGTTTATTCCTCCTCAGATGACTAGTTTCAAGCATTAAGATATACCAGCATGGATATTTATTTGGCTGACTTTCAAGCTTTGATGTAAACATATATTAAGTACACAGTAGATGGCTGTTGTCATAAAGAGCTAAGTGAAAAAGCAACTTAAAAGTTTCCCACACCAAAACAACTCTGTTGATTGAAATTTTGCTGAGAATCAAGTAGATTTAAAAATATGTATAATTACATATATTATTTTAATCTATTTTGGTTTGTTGATAAGCTAAGTGGCAAAAAATAACTTAAATGTTCACTTTTTTTTCAGCCAAGGACATAAATTTTCATCCTGGGAACTACAGTTTCAAGAGCTCAGTAGAGTAATTGAGTAATGAGCCTTTTTCACTTTGATCTAATTAAATAAACTTGATGAAATACTGATTGTGAAAAATTGCATAGAAGACAAAATAAAATACTAAGTGCCTCTACAAAATTCTTGCTGATGTAATTACTGCTTTGCAGTGCTGATGATTAGAAAATATTGTGAATAAGTACAGATTTCCCTCTCCTCTCGCCTCCCCTCCCCTCCTGTCCCTTCCTTTTCTCTTCTTTTTGAGACATGCTCTCCCTTTGTTGCTCAGGCTGCTAATCATGGCTTGCTGCAGCCTTGACTTCCTGGGTTCAAGTGATCCTCCTACCTCAGCCTCTTGAGTAGCTTCCCAGGCTGGTCTTGAACTCCTGGATTCAAGCGATCTTCCCATCTTAGCCTCCCAAAGTGCTGGGATTACAGGTGTGAACTACCACACCGGCCTGCCTAATATTTCCAAATGCATAATGTTTCAAATTAATTATGTTATGTTTCATTAATATATCATGTTTAAACAATAAATAGGTTAATACATTTTTGTTTGATCAAAAGAATGTTTTACTTTGTTAATAAAATTGGTGTACTTATATATGGCAAAATAAATTCTGTTGTATCAAGGGATACCGATATTGAACTCTGCACCAGGGTTGACTTTTGCCTTTTGTGCCAGTGCACACATCCTGTGGATGTACTCTCTGGTACAATGTCTGTGGGCCATTGCTAACATTCTGAATGTGCTTTCTTTTCCACGCAAAAAAAAAAAAAAAAAAAGCTTATCAGAAAGCATTGAGGATGAAGCTATTGTAAGAATAAGTGAATGTTGAATTGCCTCTGATTTATACAAAGTACAAATCCTTTGCTGAAGTCTTGATATTTTAACTATTAGTTAAAAATGACTTGGAGCATAGTGTCACAAATAATAGCGACACAGAGATTCAAAATTGCTGCTCCAGTATGCTCCTGCTACCCCCACCTCTGAGCAAAGATCAGTTCCACTAAATAGATTACAGGTACATGCCAGTGAGCCTCAAGAAGAGAAAAAGAGGGCAAGAAGATGTGAACAGTAGAAGAGGTATTATCTAATTTATTAAGTACTGGCACCTTTAACAGTATTTAAGTAACACAAGAACATTGGTCTTAGATGGTGAGACCTATGGTGAAAAGGGATGATATCTAACCATTATCATAAGCCCCCAAAAGGCAAATGTAGAACATAGCCTGTAATTCATAAATTCTTACAAATAATTTTAATATGCAGTAAAGTCCCACCATAAGATATTTTGTATGTTGCTTTGCTTAGATGGTGGTTTCAAGCATTACTTCATTTTTTAAAAATGCATGGTACACTTTTCTTTAGCATAAAATGGCCTGTGATGTGTATTTTCTTTTTATGACCAGGAGTTTTATAAAAATTGAAGCTGATCAACAGCGGATTAACCAATTTATTTATTGCCAATATTCCTACTGCTTTAAAACATGATCCAGCCACTTGCATTGCACCTTCACATCAGCTTGGGCTGCAAATCCTGGTTCATGGACATTCACTAGATCCAATGAGCAGTTTTTTGAGCTCTGTGCTAGGCAATTACAGTCTAGAGACGAAGTTATGATCCCTATTTTTAAGTAGCTACATGTGGGAAAAGACTGCAGGACATTTGCTGCTATCTTTATTTCTAAATCATCTGGATATAAACTTGTAGGATACCCAGGGAGAAGAGCGTGGCTTAGGTGACAGAGGATCCCAACCTACTACCCTAATCTACTTTCTCAGGCCCTGTGCTGCTAGGGAAGATGACAGGTAGAGGTGACAGGTCGGGCTGGAAGTGAGGTGCATCCCGGCTGGTGGAGGGAAGTTTGGGTGAAAAACAACTTAATGATTTTGGAAGTCTGTGTGAACTCATGTACCAGTGTTTATCTAATCTCAGTAAAATCTAGGTAAGGTGAAAATAAGGACACGTCTTTGTGGTGAAGGTACATTTAGAATCCAAGGCCTAAATGAAATAGTTAATTAGGATTCAAAAAGAAGACATTGTAAACCTTCTCTTTCTTTTTCTATTTTTAAGGACAAAATTAGAAGAGCAAAATGGAAACTATGCTACTTTGGTTGTTATTTTTCACCCCTGGGTGGACCCTCATTGCTGGATCTGAAATGGAACAGGATTTCATGTGGCACTTGAGAAGGGTACCCCGGATTGTCAGTGAGAGGACTTTCCACCTCACCAGCCCCGCATTTCAGGCAGATGCTAAGATGATGGTAAATACAGTGTGTGGCATCGAATGCCAGAAAGAACTCCCAACTCCCAGCCTTTCTGAATTGGAGAATTACCTTTCCTATGAGACTGTCTTTGAGAATGGCACCCGAACCTTAACCAGGGTGAAAGTTCAAGATTTGGTCCTTGACCAAATATCACCGACTCAAAATATCACCACAAAGGGGGCATCTGTTAGGAGAAAGAGACAGGTGTATGGCACCGACAGCAGGTTCAGCATCTTGGACAAAAGGTTCTTAACCAATTTCCCTTTCAGCACAGCCGTGAAGCTGTCCACTGGCTGTAGTGGCATTCTCATTTCCCCTCAGCATGTTCTGACTGCTGCCCACTGTGTTCATGATGGAAGGGACTATGTCAAAGGGAGTAAAAAGCTTAGGGTAGGGTTGTTGAAGATGAGGAATAAAGGTGGAGGCAAGAAAAGTCGGGGTTCTAAGAGGAGCAGGAGAGAAGCTAGTGGTGGTGACCGAAGAGAGGGTACCAGAGGGCATCTGCAGAAGAGAGCCAAGGGTGGGAGACGAAGAAAACAGTCTGGCCGGGGTCAGAGGATTTCCGAAGGGAGACCTTCCTTCCAGTGGACCCGGGTCAAGAATACCCACATTCCAAAAGGCTGGGCACGAGGCGGCTCAGAAGATGCTGCCTTGGACTATGACTATGCTCTTCTGGAGCTGAAGCGAGCTCACAAAAAGAAATACATGGAACTCGGAATCAGCCCAGCCATCAAGAAAATGCCTGGTGGAATGATCCACTTCTCAGGATTTGATAACGATAGGGCCGATCAGTTGGTCTATCGGTTTTGCAGTGTGTCCGACGAATCCAGTGATCTCCTCTACCAATACTGCGATGCTGAGTCGGGCTCTACCGGTTCTGGGGTTTATCTGCGTCTGAAAGATCCAGACAAAAAGAATTGGAAGCGCAAAATCATTGCCGTCTACTCAGGCCACCAGTGGGTTGATGTCCACGGGGTTCAGAAGGACTACAACGTTGCTGTTCGCATCACTCCTCTCAAATATGCCCAGATTTGCCTCTGGATTCATGGGAACGACGCCAATTGTGCTTACGGCTAACAGAGACCTGAAACAGGGCGATGTATCGTCTAAATTACAGAGAAAACCAGCTCTGATTATTGTAGCGAGAGCACTTCATAGGTTATGCCTGGACTTGAACCCTATCAATAGCATTTCAACATTTTTCAAAATCAGGAGATTTTCATCCATTTAAAAAAATGTATACATACAGATGGCTGGACGCAGTGGCTCACGCCTGTAATCCCTGCACTTTGGGAGGCCGAAGTGGGCGGATCATGAGGTCAGAAGTTCAAGACCAACCTGGCCAACATAGTGAAACCCCATCTCTACTAAAAATACAGAAATTAGCCGCCGTGATGGCGGGTGCCTGTAGTCCCAGCTACTTGGGAGGCTGAGGCAGGAAAATTTTGTTGCCTTCTTAAAAATTAGATGCACTTTAAAACCTCAAGCTGGTACTATAAATAACATGCAATTTCCTAATGGACTTATGCTCAGGGTCCTACTCTAAGCAGAATCTAATAGGATGCTGGTTGTGTAGTAAATGTGAAATTGCATAGATAAAGGTAGATACTAACACAGTATCAGGACAGAGACAAAAATTTACAACACAATTTGTACTACTCTGAGATGGATCCATTCAGCTCATGCCCTCAGTGTTTATATTGTGTTATCTGTTGGGTCTAAGACATTTAGTTTAGTTTCTTTTTTTTTTTGAAGAATTACAAATCAGAAGAAAAAGCAAGCATTATAAAAAAAACTATTAACTGTTTTACTGCTTTAAAAATAACAATTACAATGTGTATTGTTTAAAAGTGGAAGAAATAGTTTGTTCTATGAAATAAATCTAGTTTAGAAATAGCGAAGCTGAGACATCTTAAGATCTCAGGTTTTTATTTAACTAATCCTCAAAATATAGACTTTTCATGTATGCATAGGGAAGACTTTTCACAAATTATGAATGATCATGTGTTGAAAGCCACATCATTTATGCTATACCATCTATGTATGAAGTGCTACATTTTTAGGACAAATAATTCTGTAATCTTTTCAAAGAGAACTTTTTTCTTCCTGACAAAATCCAGCTTTTGTATAAGGACTATAGGGTATATTCTCTGATTAGTAATTTTAGATATGTTCTTTCCTAAAAATGAATAAAATTTATGACTATGACTTTTAAAAGAAGATTCTGCAACACTCCTTCTGGCCATCATGTAGTGTAAGCAGAGTCCAGTGACTGCCCTGGGGCAAAACACAGGAGATGCTCAATGTGTATCTCTTGAACAAACAAATATTAGCTAAAAGGCTGTAAAAGGGAGGCATTATGTTCAAAGAGTTTTAGCGATCTATAATCAAGTACACCATAAAATTCAACAATTGTAGGCCTTATTTCTGGTCTGGTCTATTCTTTCTGACAGTTTCTAAGGCCACCTTCTCTTTTCTCACGACACACTCAAGTCATTGATTCTGCCAGGGTTTAAATTTATCTATTTTTTAATAATGGGGAGTTATACTCTTGGCTAGTATGCCAAGAAATTATTGATTATAATTAATGATTTTGTAAACTGTGTTCAAAACAGCAGAAATTCAGTACAAGTGCAGATTCTTTTATGTGAATCTCTTAAAAATAATTCCATAAAAATTAAAAAAATAAATTAGCTATAACTCTTACTGTATCTGTGTATATGCTTTTTAATTTTTTATTTAATTAAAGTAGAGATGGAGTCTTGCTACATTGACCAGCCTAGTCTCAAACTCCTGGCCTCAAATGATCCTTCTGCTTTGGCATTAAAGTGTTGGGATTACAAATTTGAGCCACCATGCCCAGCCATATATGTTTCGTAGGCAGGATTTCAACATGTATTAACTACCATTTTATTTTTTTAATGATTTGATATAATTCTAAGCACATTTCACTGAGTAGGATTTTATTATTGTTTCTAGTGGAATAGGGTTATTGACTCAAAAGTGTTGCTCAGTTTTTAGGGGGGAAAACATCTATGTGATTGCAGAAACAAAAATGTTCCAAGGTCATTTTTGCATATTACACACTTGTAAACACACACACACACACACACACACAATCTTTGTCTTTGATTCTTTGAATATAACTCCTAGGATTTGAGTAAGTTTAGAATACCTTTGGGTGCTTAATAAAATAGTTTGGTACTTAAAGTTAAATTCTGAGTATATATTCATTTTATATATAATTCTTAAAATCATTGTTCAATATACTTTTCAAAAATATAAAATTCAGCTTATTTAATTTGTAGAGCTTTTTTCTTGTCTCTTTTTTAGAAATGGTCTTGCTCTGTTGCCCCGGTGGCATAATTAAAGCTCACTGCAGTCTTGAACTTCTGAGCTCAAGAGATTGGGGATAACAGACATGCACCAGTACACCTGGCTAGAGGTTTTTTGTTTTTTGTTTTTTTTGCCATGTACTTTTCTTTTCCAAGTGAATCATGAATCTTATATGACTTATTTAGGAGCTTGTTTAGGAACACTAAAATGAATTGCATTAACCAGAAAGTTTTGCTTCATGTACTTTTTCTCTTATGTTTATCAGATTTGAAATTGAGAATTAGACTGAACTCACTTAGCTAAACAAACATACTTACATGCTACATGATATCTACTGTGTGCAAAGGACTGAACTGACTTGTTGTCTTGGGAATCTTACCACTGGTGGAATTCAAATAACCATTTTCAAAACAACAGAAATTTAAAATTGTGTCATTCCTTCTTTATCTAAATAACATATTTTATTTATGCTTTTTCTTGTTCAAACAAATGTGTGTGAGCAGAGGCAACTTAACATATTTTTCCTTTTTGGTATGCTTCTTAGTTAATCCAATGTTTATTTTGAAAAATATTTAAATAATATTTGATTGTCTTAGTCCATTTGGGCTGCTATAGCAAAATACTTTAGACTGGGAACTCTTAAATGATAGAAATTTATTGTTCACAGTCTGGAGGCTGAAAAGTCCAAGATGGAGGCATCAGTAGATTTAGTGTCTAATGAAGGTCCATGCCTCATACATGCACCTTCTTGTTGTATCCTCATGTGGTGGAAGGGGCACACAAACTTACTCAAGTCCCTTCTATGGGAGAATGAATCCCAGTTATGAGGCAGGAGCCCTTATGGCCTAAGTACCTTCTACATACCCTGCCTCTTAATAATGACACCTTTGGGGTTAGGTTTCAGCATATAAACTTTGGGGGGATGTAAACATTCAGACCATAGCAATGACCAAGATCAGTATTCTGGACACATTTTTACCCTTCTTACTTGTAGATTGAATAATTCTTTTAAATTCTTATTTCATAGAAAGAATCTCAGGATGAGAAGAGACTATAAGAAGAGTTTATAAAAGATCATTGAGCCGGGCGCAGTGGCTCATGCTTGTAATCCCAGCACTTGGAAAGACAGAGGTGGGTGGATCAACTGAGGTCAGGTGTTCAAGACCAGCCTGACCAACATGGCAAAACCCTGTCTCTACTAAAAATACAAAATTAACCCAGTGTGGTGGTGCGCACTTGTAATTCCAGCTACTTGGGAGGCTGAGGCCGGAGACTTGCTTGAACCCAGGAGGCAGAGGTTGCAGTGAGCTGAGATCAGGCCACTCTTCAGTCTGGGCAACAAAGAGCAAAACTCCATCTCAAAAAGAAAAGAAAAGAAAAGAAAATTATCTAGTTTAACCCTATACTTTAAGTTTGAATCCCTTTCTGTAGCATTCTCTGCAAGTGGTTGTCCAGTGATAAGAAAATCTTTCACCCCTTATGTTTAGTTATTAAAATTAATTCAGAAACATAACATATGTTATTCAGTTTGCTACATACTGTAAGAATTATAGTGTATGTCTTGCATTTTATTCCAATGTTGACCATTTTAATTACTCATAAGTCTTTGCCCTTATGTCAGTAAATCAAGTATTTACTCTCATCAGACGTAAACTGTGATTATTAATTAAGAATATTGGGATAAGGCAATTGAAGTAAGCACTGGACATTACAGGAATGTGGCTCTGTAGCTGTAAATAACCTATAATTAGCATCTATATTCTTTAATGTGGTTTCCCAATAACAAACAATTTTGGCTACTGATTTTTAAAAGTACCTGTCAGGCTTTAAAGATGCTTTAACAAAACTACTTTTACTAAAAATGATCAACAGAAGAGTCTTTTTAATAAATGGATTTTTGCAACTAGGTCATTGCTCTTTCTTCAACAGTCAAATCATTAGGTTCAGAGATATTTAGAAGATTTGGTCTAATCAGTGGTGAACTCATGTCCTCCTCAGATAGCATTGATCTATGGGCAGATTCACAAGTTTTAATTTTTATTTATTCAATGCAGTATCTTGCTCTGTTGCTCAGCCTAGGGTATAGTGGAATGACAGTGACTCCCTGCAGCCTTCCCCCTAGACTCAAAAGATCCTCCTGCCTCAGCCTCCTAAGTAGCTGGGACTACAGGCATATACGATCATGCCTGGCTAATTTTTAAAGTTTTTTGTAGAGATATGATCTTGCTTTGTTGCCCAGGCTGGTCTCTAACTCTTGGGCTCAAGAAATCCTTCTGCTTTGGCCTCCCAAAGTGCTAGGATGACAGGTGAGAGACACTGTGGCTGGGCCACACGTTTTCATTAATTCACTATTCAACTAAGGGAGACAGCCACCCTCAGATGGTTTTCTTTTCTACTTATAAAATCTAGGGAGGGAAATTCCCTGCTTCTTCCTTTCTGTATTTAAAAGCTGATGATTTGGTCCAATTAGCTAAACTATTGAGAACATGGTGGGCAAAATGACTTATGATCCCAATATGGGCTGGTCTGCCTACCCACGGGTAGGGTGGTGTGTTAGTGAGTTGCCGTAACAAAACACCACAGACTGGGTGGCTTAAACAACAGACATTTAATTCTCACAACGCTGGAGGCTGGGGAGTCCAAAATCAAGGTAGGTTTCATTCTGAGACCTCTTCTCTTGTCTTGAAGGTGGCTGCCATCTTATTGTGTGCTCCTGTGGCCTCTTTTTGGTGCACAAGCAGGAAGAGTGTGAGAATAAGAGAGGGAGAGAGAGGACAGATTCTCTCTCCCTCTCTCTCTTTTTTTTAATCTTTGAAGGACACTAATCCCATCATGAGGGCCCCATCCTTATTGCCTTATTTAACCTCAATTACCTCCCAAAGGCCCCATTTCCAAATACTATCACAACTGAGGGTTAGAAATTCAACATGTGACATTTTTAGGGGTGGGTGTGGGACACAAACATACAGTCCATAACAGGTATCTCAACCCACAAGCTGCACTAAACTTCTAAACTTAGAAGTTGCACCTTGGACCAGACACAGGGAATTCACAAGCCTGTGTCACTAGAGAAACTCAAAAAAGGGGTATGAATGGCAGCTCAAGCAGCCAATATCTTTCTCCTAACTTTCATCATCATCATTTCAAGTACTAGTACCTGGTACAGAGGCAGTCATTGATAGATGCTTAAACATTTTACTAAGTATTCATTGAGGCTTACTCTTTCAGGACATCACTTACTCTATGCTATATGCTGAAACTCCAAAATGCTATAGGTATTGTCTTAATTGTGTATCATATTAAAGATACAGACAAGTATTTAAATAATGGGAATATTTTCTTGTAATGAGAATTTTAGTATTGAAATACACTATAGTGTGCCACTTAAGGGATTAGATATTTGACATGTACTCTGCTGACTCATGTATATTTCTGATAAAAACTGCCTTCAAACAGACAGGTGCCAAGCTTCTGTAGCTACACCTTATCCTCTCCTCTGCCATGTAAATATTCAATCAGACAATCTCTGCCTCAAAAACTGCCACCAAAGTCTTTTTGCCTTAGTAATATTTAAAAGTTTCCAATAACATCTTAATGGATATTCACTTTTCTAAAGCACTGAGGACAAGTTGACCACTTACTAAGAATATCTGCTTTGATCCACATTGTAATCAATCAATCATAAGATCCATTATTGCCTCCCTGTGTGGTTTTACCAAACTGGATTTACACAGTTCACCAAACTGAGACTGTATGATCACATTTCACTTTATGTTTGTAAATGTTTACTAATATTCAACTAACAATAACTTGTGTTTATCTTATTGAAATCCTCTGTGCATGCTCCTGTAATATTTAAGTGACTGTATACTTTCACACACAGCATAGATAAGAGGAATACTTTGAAAACTGTTTACATAACTGAACACAGATGAGTTTGGAAACTTCCTCCGGGCTTTTGCTCAGCCTAATTAACACTCATTTTCCTTACCCTTCTACATATTTTACATTCAATTTCCTCAGTAATTTGTAATATGCCACACGATTAACATCTCACTTGTCTAGAACTTCCTTTTCTGATGATTTCAAGTATCTAAAATGTAACAAAATTACCTGTACAACATATCTTTGGAATAACTGACATAGATGCTACAAAATTACTTTTACTCGAGAAATATTCTTAACAAGTTTGGTTATCTGATTTCTGAAACTATAATGAGAAGGCTGCTAATGAGGCAAGTTCAACAGTCCCAAGAAGATACAGCTGACAGAGAAGGAGGATATAGACAAACTATTAAACTATATTTTTAAAGACCCAGGTATAAAAGAACGACAAAATTTTAGTAGTTTGGAGCTATTGAATTTGGGCAAGCACCTCTGTGAGCCCTACTAGTCTGTGAAAGTATAGCAATATGTGTTAGGTTTATAATGATGACTGAACAATCAATGTACAATCATGTTCAGTGTGAGTTTTGGAAGGCATTACATTGTAGAAGAATTTTCATGAAAAAATCTTGACATATTTTATTAAAGTCTTGTTTAAAATAAGAGAAACATCTGTGGCAAACAATTCCGTTTGCCACAGATGTTTCTCTTATTTTAAACAAGACTTCTGTTTTTATGCTCAAATAAAATTCTAGCCTTAAAAATTGAAAAAAAAAAAAAAAAACCCAAAAACCTTCCCCCAATATTTTGCTCATTCTTCAGAATAAAAATATCTTGAGTATTTTGAAGGCTAATGTGTGCTATTGAAAGTTTGACAACTGTCGAACAGCTGCACCCAATTTATATATACATACCGCACTGGGAGACAGCCACAGCAACTCTGGTGTAATGGAAACAGTTCAGGATGCATAATAAAGTGACTTAGTTGTCTAATCATAGGGGACTGCCCTGTAGAGAGCAAATTTTGACCAAATATAATGTGCTGATGGTTGTAATTAGTATTATAAGATCACAAAAGTTACTTAAGACAATAAATAGTTGCATATGATAAATTAGTTGCATTCTGTTTTACCTTATATTTGTGAAAGACAAACTGGAATTTCCTAAGAGCAGAGAGAGGCAATCATGTATTGCTGAAGAACTAATATGTGTGTGCGCTGGTGCATATTTCATTCTCTGAAACTAGACCTCCTCCCCTCCCCACCATTATGTTACTCCTAATCTTCTGCTTACGGGGGTTTGTAGTATAGCTACCAACACAACGTTTCTCTAAGACCTGTCCATTATAGAGCCTACCTCTTCTCAGCTAGATAAGCAATCTAGGGATCTCCTGAGTAATCTAATACCCAGAGAACTAGAGGCTTCTGGAAGGTAAGGAAAAGAGACCTCTTTCTGTTCCAGGTGTGTTACTTTCACCAGCCCTTCCTCTCCTATTAATTGATAGGAGTCAAGACTGTAATTTTTGCTTCACTTAGAATTTAAACTACTGCTACTAACCTACACTCCAGACCACAAAACAATTTGAATCTCAGGATATCACAAGAAAAGAATACCCTAGAGAGTGATCTAGGAGGACATATGACTTTTTTTTCTCCTTAAGCCTACTTTAAATTGATGAGTTGCAAGAAAAATTTGCAGCCAACAACCTTAGAAGACAGAACTTTTAAATCAAAAGTTTTTTCCTATGCAATACCTGCAAAAATGCAGTTTTACTTTTTCCTTTTAAAAATCAGGACATACTTGATGCCAACATTCTTCTACCAAACAAAAGTACCTCATTATCAAGCAATTACCTAAAAATAAAAGTGTTATTTTTTACACAGAACTGAGTTTAGTGTTCTGCCACCTGTCTTGAACTGTTTCCTTTAAGAGGCATTCTTTGTGGCATGGGGAAATAAGTGACACTATTGTACCCAGCAAATGTGTAGTTGTGCCACTTTATGTAGACTTGGTAAGTGACTGATGTGGCTCCATGAACAGATGTCCTGAAGCCACATCATAGCCATGTGTGGGCAGTCATTGCTCACATATAGTAGCATCTTTCTCCTGCACATACCCCCAAATTAAAGTCTGCTTTTTGGTGGAAACTAGTATACCATAATGCCACTGTGTTTAGGATACAGTATTTAAAAATTGTGCTGTAGGAGGCTGGCGCCTCCTAGTGGCCATGAATTGCAAGAAACAAGGCTTCCAAGCTAGACTTGGAGCAGCTAATGGAAGGTTTTGAATGGTATGCTAGAATGCTTGGTCTTTAACTTTGAGATTACTAGGAATTGATGCAGGTTTTAAGTCAGGTAAATGTGATCAAATGGGAATTTTGAGAAGGAAACCTGAAAGCACTATTTAGGCTGCACTGGGGTGGTCTGAATGGGGATTAGACTAGGAGCAAAGAGCCCAATGCAGAGACTGCTGGAGAAGCTGTGGTAGGGAAAAGACAGAGAGAAAGCAGGAGAGGATACCTTGTGAGATATTCACAGAGCTGAATGTTTACTATACTTCGTGGCATTTGAATACCGGAGAGAAGAGTTGAGAGTGTTCTGTCCCCTGAACTTCTGGTTTGGGAGGCTGGGTAGATGGTGAGACCACTAACCAAGACAGAAAGATTAGGCTTGGGGAAAAGATAATGAGTTCATTCTTAGACATGTATGTTAAAGATGTAGGATATTTATCAATAACATTGACAATACCCTTAACAATAAAAGTTAAGACAAGAAAGTTAAATAAAAAGGGTGGTTCTATAGTGAACTAACCCATTAATTAACAACATAACCAGTAAGTCACAAGTCATATAATGATATTTTGTTCTGAATTCAGATAGTAACTACACTTTCCCCTCCCTTCCTTCTTTTCCTCTCTCCTCCCTTCTCCTCCTCCTCTTCTTCTTCTCCTGCCTCAGGCTCCTGAGCAGCTGGCATTACAGGTGTTCACCATTATGCCAGGATAATTTTTGTATTTTTA